GCTTTAGGGCTAATTAGTCGCTCATTCGTCGCGCGGTTTTGTCACCGCGCTTTAGTCACCACAGTTTAGTCAGGCGCGCTTTTGTTGTGCGCGCTTTTGTGGTGGAACCTGTGTGTGTGTGTGTGTGTGTGTGTGTGTGTGTGTGTGTGAGAGAGAGAGAGAGAGAGAGAGAGAGAGAGAGAGAGAGGGAAGGAGGAGAGAGAGAGAAAGATTACATGAGGACAAGGGAGAAGAGGAAGGACAAAATAAACATTAAAAAAAAATTAAGATGATAAAAATAAGATTATTTTTTTTTACCTTCAATCTCATGTTCAGCTCTGCAGAGGTGAAAAAGGGAAGAAGAAAAATGAAAAAAATTGCTTTCAAACGCAGGGAAAACAGTGAATTCAAGGAGAGGGGGGAAAAAAAAAAGGCTTCTGACGAAAGTCACTTACAAGCTTTTGCAACCGAGAGGCAACATTCTCTACGGTGTCCCACCCAGCCGAAGGAGTTTTACGGGGCGGCCTGGTCCGAGGAGCATTAAGCGATTCTAACTACGGCCACAGAACTCGAAAAGTTTCTAGACGACAAGGAGGAAATGTTTTTTAAAAACAGGAAAATTTTATTTAGCAAGTGCATTTGGTTCAGAATGCATTAGATTTTCATCCCGTCTTTATTACAAGTAATTCAAACATACCTAATACTTTTTTTCCTCTTCTTATCTTCCCCACAACAACAACAACCCTGTGAGGTGGGCTGGGCAGAGAGAAGGAGATTGGCCCAAAGTCAGCAGGCAAATTTTCATTCCTAGGGCGGGACTAGAATTCACTGTCTCCCGGTGATTGGCCCAGTCACTCAATTGGCTTCTAAGCCTAAGGTGGGACTAGAACTTACCGTCTCTGGGTCATTGGCCCAAAGTCACCCAATTGGCTTCCGTGCCTAAGGTGGGGTTAGAACTCACCGTCTCGTGGTGATTGGCCCAGTCACCAAATTGGCTACCATGCCTAAAATAGGATTAGATCTGCCAGCTGGGTGATTTTTGGCCAATCACCAGGAGAGGGTGAGTTCTAGTTCCTCCTTAGGGGTGAAAGCCGGCTGGGTGACTTTGGGCCAATCACCAGGAGAGGGTGAGTTCTAGGTCCTCCTTAAGCGTGAAAGCCGGCTGGGTGACTTTGGGCCAATCTCCAGGAGATGGTAAGTTCTAGTTCCTCCTTAGGCGTGAAAGCCGGCTGGGTGACTTTGGGCCAATCACTAGGAGACTGTAAGTTCTAGTCCCACTTTAGGCATGAAAGCTAGTTGGGTGACTTTGGCCAATCACCAGGAGACGGTGAGTTCTAGTTCCTCCTTAGGGGTGAAAGCCAGTTGGGTGACTTTGGGCCAATCACCAGGAGATGGTAAGTTCTAGTTCCTCCTTAGGGGTGAAAGCTAGTTGGGTGACTTTGGGCCAATCACCAGGAGACGGTGAGTTCTAGTTCTGCTTTAGTCAAAAAAGCTGGCTGGGTGACTTTGGGCCAATCACCAGGAGATGGTAAGTTCTAGTTCCTCCTTAGGCGTGAAAGCCGGCTGGGTGACTTTGGGCCAATCACCAGGAGATGGTGAGTTCTAGTTCCTCCTTAGGCGTGAAAGCCGGCTGGGTGACTTTGGGCCAACCCCCCCCCCCCTCTCTTGCAGACCAACCTACCTCAAAGGGTTGTTGTGGGGGAAATAGGAAAACCGAGTGTTGGATGTATTTGTCACCTTGAGTTATTTGTTAAAGAAATAAAAAAGGCAGAATATTAATTATTTAACCAAGGAATGAGATTAATGCAGAGGGCATCCCCTGGGACACGCCTTACCTCGGTTCCTCAGCTCAGCCGGTGAACAACGTGGCTCCTGCTCACATTCTCTCTCAGTCTCGGGGCCTGCCTCCCATTGCGCCGGGAAGAGAGGCTTGTCCTGCATGGAAACCGAGAGGAGACACAATCATTGTTCATTGATTCCGGGCACACAATGAAGTTAACCATGGTTAGACCAAGCACGGCTAGGTCCATATCCTAATTTTGCACCAAGATGCTTTGACGTACGCACTAAGAAGAAAGTGGAGGGGTCTAACCGCGGAACTTTTAAGACTTGTGGACTTCAACTCCCAGAATTCCCCAGCCAGGGGAGAGAGAGAGGGAGGGAGAGAGAGAGGGAGGG